GGCGGCGGGGTGGGCCACGGCGGGGTGGGGGGGAGGTGGGTGACGCAGAGGCGGCCGGGGCGCGGGGGGGGGGGGTCACTGAATTTCATCAGCGGCCAGAGGGGGAGACCCAAGTCCGACCCAGACCTCCTGGAGCGGAGAGGAGACGGGAGACGAACATTGTAAATCATCTTTATGGATTGCAGTCATTATTTCAGTGACAACTGAAGTCAGACAAAATTGATTTTTTTTTTTTTTTAAATCAAAAGTGATTAATCCATGAAGTAATTATTGACCTTCCCAATCTGCGGTGCTTGCCTGTCAAACTGTTCTTGTTGCAGGGAAATTGACTTCCTGCTGGGCGGAAAAGCTTAAAACGTCCAAACTTGTCTCGCAACTTTCTTGAATTAAAAGTTCAAATAAAAAAAAATCTTAATTGTAAATAAAAACGGCGTAAATTACGATCCCCTTCCGGTTATTTATCCAGCGTTGACCTTGCGGTCAACACAGAAACGGCGCTTTGAAAGCAGAAATCATCTCCGCCCATATAGGGTTTATTACGGTAGAAGGTGCCACGAAGAAGATAGGAGATTCATGAGGAGCAGTAAGTCACTCCTAAAATATCTGCTCGACAACCTAGCCAAATATATATATATATATATATATATATATATATATATATATATATATATATATATATATATATATATATATATATATATATATTTAAATTATTTAATTAATTAAGAAAGAATCTTCTTCCACCACAAACCTGTATATTGGCCACCTGATGACAAAAAATGTTCCATGAATTTTAATAATAAATGAGAAAACATTACCCAGCAGCAGTGTTTTCTTAGGTCATATCTATTAGAAGTACTCAGATATCTCAGAATCACACAGGGATGAAGGATGTGAAATTCACATTGTTCTACTTAATGATGACCGGGTCTGTAACTTTAGTCATGATGGGTTTTCTCTCTCTCTCTCTCTCTCTCTCTCTCTCTCTCTCTCTCTCTCTCTCTGTCTCTCATATTTAAGGTTTAACTGACCATCTAAGGATTAAAGTTCAATGCTTTATTAGTGCCCTCTGGTGGTCAAATATTTACAACAGTAGGGACGAGGCCCATATTAAAAGTGATTCATAAAGGATGTTAAAGACTAGGACGAAGGTACAGAACAAATTGGAGCTTATTACCAAAAGTAAATAATCAAAATACCAGCGGATACATATAAAAACATTTAATTATAACAAGAGTTTGATTACTGTAATGACAATAAAGATGTTTCCACTGGACTCAATAGTGGCATTTTTGAAGGACATGTGCATCATCATTGTTGACTCTGGTGTCTCTCATCTTCCTTTTGACAGTACCATCAGGCTCTAAATAGGGTTTATGTCCAGTCAGTTTGCTGGTTGACTAAGCATGGTGATACAATGCTAAGCAAAGCAGGTGTTTGTACTTTTGGGCTTTGTGGGCACACATTAAATCCGGCTGGAAAGAGAAGAAACTATCTCAATAAAGCTTCTCAGTGGGCTGGAGCATGGATAGTGGAACTGAGAAAACACAAGTACCAAAATAAGCAGATGACACGATACTGGCTGCAGTTATGCTTGTTGCATGTGCATCTTTATTTCCCTCATAATTTCCTTCTAGTAAACATACCATTAATATGGCTGGATACAGCACTCTGAGAAGTCTGCCGGACAATTGTCAAATCAGCAGTATGCCAGTAAAAACAAATTTGAGTGTTAAAAATCGAATTCTATTGGATCTTCTTTAATATCTTTTAAAATACATACTTTGGGGTTTTCATTCCAAGTAATGTTAATCAAATTTGACAAAAATAAGTACTTGAGATTTAGCGCCTTGCATATAAATTTATAACTGAACACAAGTTTCACATTTTTAATTGAATTTTTTGACAATAACTTAGAGTTGCACATGTAAGTACCTTTTCCAATAATAATATGTCACATTTTCTTCTATACAAGTCTAACTTTGAAGGCTTGTTAACCTGAAGACGACAAAAAGACAAATGTAGGCATTCTTGCGTTCCAGTGACACGTTGCAAGTAGATATAAGATAATTAACCTGAGGTGATTCCGTGTGTGTGTGTGTGTGTGTGTGTGTGTGTGTGTGTGTGTGTGTGTGTGTGTGTGGTTACAGGCAGAACTGCATCTGTGTTTTACACCGTCGTGAGGGGGATGATCGTGCAGGTCATCACAGCCTGACAGGGGGGAGCTTACAGCGGAGAGAGAGGGCGGCTGAGTGAGAGAGGGAGAGTTGGGTGATGAGATGGAGAGAGGCAGGAGATCAGTGCGCAGCAGATGCACAAGGTGCTCCTTGTTCGCTCTCAGATCTGTAGCAGCATCAGTCACAGATTAGACATGAGCAACCTCGAAAAGTAGCCTCTTACGGTGGATACAAACCTGGTGGATTGTACTTGTCTTTCTCTTGGACTCCAGGTCACTGGAAACCCGGGAGGTTATTATTTTACGCACACGTGCTCAACGCAGTTCCCTGGATGTTGGGATTAAAAAACCTCTCGGATCTTTTCTGGCACAATGAGACTCGTGAATTTAATGGATCTAAGCACCAAATAGGAGTAAAATCTATTTTCGGGCAGCGCTTGCAGCCGGCATGGCTTTACCAAACTCACCGGGCTCTCCCGAATCGGGGAAGCCCAGCCCCAACGTCATAGACCTGGGGACTATCTTTGTTGACTCGGACATCATATTTGGCTTCACAAGTCACCTGCTGAGGAGAAAAGCAAAGGTAAGAGCGACTCTTCGGGGATGAATAAACACTTGAGGAAATATGATGAGGGAAAACAGTTGGGATCCAGAAAAAACGATGCGCCCAGGAGCGCTCCTCTCCGAGATTCAAACGCATCTTGCAACGTCCCTTCTCTTTATCTCAGATTAATTCAAACTCTTCAATTATTATTTTTTTTTAGAATTCTAAAATCTATTTTTTTTTCCATAAATATAACCCAACATTTATATAAATCTCTACAAAAAATGCAACACTGTGGTTAATGACATTTATCGAAAAGCAGAAGATGATTATCGTAAAACGTTCTGGGCATGTTTGTGTGAAACAGAGATTGTTATATTGCACATAATTCTCTCATCCGAATCTATAACGCCCTAAAGGTCTTGAGATTATCTCTATCCAACTTCAAAACTATTAGAGAAGATGTTTTCTGGCTTAAGTTGGAGTTTAACATGGCATATAGTCTGTAATAAGAAATGACACGTACAAAACTAAGGACAGAGACAATTTAGAAACCCTTTTCAGGGGTGGCCACCGTGGCTGACATCACCCACATGAAATATTCAAAGTTTACTAATTAAATATTAAACCCATAGTGAAGCCCTTTAATTCAAGTCTGAGAAATGCCGTTTTGTTCTTTACCCAGACGATGGCGCCAGAGTCCCATTAACGACGCGCAGGGGCGATGCTCTTGGACTGAAAGTTGTTTAATTTTTTGTTAAACTAACTCCTTAGTTATATATATATATTTAAATGAAGTCATTGTTTTAGATTAATCATCTAAAGTTAATCTACTTGACCTAATTTCAGGATTATAAATTAGCATTTTAAATTTCCATATTTCCATTTAATGCGTAGAGCACCATGTCTACGTATTTATACGAGAATAATAAAAGAAACATCTTAAATAATTTAGCTGTCAAAAGAGCTTTTAAACTTTCTACTCTAGAATAATGAGACCCCACCCAGGGGCAGAAAGTTTGTTTCGCCCTCCCACTTCAGCAGGCTACACCGCCTCCTCTATTGATCTGCCAAAAAACTCCTGCGCTGCTTGCAAACTTATGGACAAGCTCCCTTGTTACTTTGGCTGTGCAGCTCTTGCCAACGTGCAGTGTGATAGATGACAGTGAGTCTAATTTTCAGAGTAGCCTATGGCTCTGCCTCGCGTTTTTCACTTTGACTTTGACGAAAGATTCTCCTGAAGGTGTAAACCTCGGATCTGGGAGAATGAGAACGTTTGAGGGCATTTTGGCTTCTGATGGAGAAGACCTCCACAGCCGCGTGTTCACTGTAAGTGTGTCACAATCGGGGTGAACTATTGACTACGTCTCCATTCTTGTTTAACCTGCATCTCTCTGTTCTGCGCACTCAAAAGGTGCTCTTGTTTACCTCTGTCACCTGTACGCACCTGACGCATGAACTGCTAACCTGATAAACTTCTTCTTCTTCTTCTTTTCTTTTTTTCTTTTAAATCTTGTGCTGAAGGTGGAGGGATGTCCCAGTGGAGAGTCCGCGGTGAGCCCCAGGAAAAGATTTCACTCAGCGGAGGAAGCGCGATGCAGCAGCCGTCCTCCACCTGAGGGCGCCGGGTCAGTTTCCATCACCGAGTCGGAGGAGAAAGGAGGCTTTTGCCAGCAGTGCCAAAGGAAGGTGTCGGAACTGAAGAAACAGGCGCAAACTCTGGCTGACCACAACTCCTTAAAGGTTAGTTTATATTCCCTCAGGCAAATCTCCCTTCCCCATTTAGTTCCCCCACCATATATTGGGGCAAGAAAGTACCCCATGTTGGTCCCATGGGGTTTTCTCAATCTGGTGGGGTCTAAGTAGACCCTGATTGTCTTCACTAAATACAACCTATATGGTAAAACCAATTGGACACCTTAAATTGTACAGTACATTTAGGACCCATGTGAGGTAGCTGGAATCCCAGTGTTGGGTACCATACTGGTAAGAGATGGGCTCCCAATAGTTCTCACATGGGATGGTTCAGAGGCCACACAGTGGCCCCAGGTAATGTTTTGTAAACGTTCAATGGAGGACAACCTGTATCAGTCCTATATGTGTATTTCAAAGAGAGAATTGCTAGTCAGGAGTTTAAAGTACACTTTCAACATGTGGTCCATCCTGGATGGAAATATAACCTGTGGCAGCAAAACTAATCTGGCATTCTACATGGGTGTTGGCTGGCTGTTAAGAAACTGCATCTCAATTACACATCACTTGTGGGTGCCATATTAGTTCCAATTGTTTTAACCAGAATTTGTAACATGTGGACAATATCAGCGGGGAAGCATTTTTAGCCAATATCCTATAATATTGGCCCATATGTGAACATATGTGTGGAGAAGGTGGTTTTGGACTCCTGATTATTAATTCTCACTCTGAGTTGCTTCTTTGAAGATGTTTGTCTCCTTCATATGTTCTTGCCCTTGTTATTCACTGTGGGTTGAAGGACAATGAAGTTCCACTTGCTATTTTCTAACAGAACCTAGAAGACTCTCATCATTCTCTTGTGGCATTATTTATTGCTCTACTTGACTTCAAATGCTGGCCTTGGATGTGAAACTGGACGCTTTTGAGACATTTAAAGTGGTCCCCTTTGTTCTACCAAACAATGCTTATCTTTTTTTATGTCGCTGTTGGGTGTGGGGGGTACGGGGGGTGTCCACGGGCCTGAAACGACTGGGCCGCTCACGTTGGAGGCTAAGGAGGAAGTTCAGTCCCAGTCGGCCTTCGATGTCCATTGAAAGTGTTCCTGTGCTGCTGCTCCCAAAATTCCCACCACTGTTAAATATAGGTTTTGCCCCCACTGTTGTGGCGGGCTGGGTTTGTCCTCTGGTCCGTGCTCCTTTGTTATAATTTTTTGTCATTAAAGGGGGGAGAATTTCAACATGAGATTGAGTTTCATCACTTTAGGGTTCACCTGTAATCCCACAGCACCTGTGGTTCAACCAGGAGCAGCTGTTCAAAAGGACAAGGGGACATTTCTCAACCACCTGGACTCCTTATGTGTGGTCTGTCCATTATGAGAAGTTCAGAGCACATCTGTATTCAGCTATCAGGTATATCCACTTCATATATCCATAAAGGCTTCACTTGAGTCCTGTCATCTGTCATTGGAACTGACCTCTTGTGTTTAGTGACAGACCCTCTGGCAGCACTTTGTGGTTCTCTCCAGGTGCTCTAAGAGGAAGAAAGAGATGAAGACCTCCTCTTTACCCACTATTTGCTCTTGTTGAAGGCTAAATGAGGCCTTAATTCCAGGGTGGCAAGCAGTGATGGCTGGGTACTGTTGTTGTGCGGTGGCTGTGGTATGGCGTCCTCTAGGCGAAAGGATAAAAACCTCATTGTCTTTTTGAGGTTTGAGTAGCTCACCTGTTGGGCCTCATAGGATGGATGATTGGTTCCAAATTACTTCCTCCATGGAGGGTGTAAGGTCAGCGGGGTCACTCCCGGGGCCTGCTGGTGTGTCTGGGATCCTGCAATCTGCTTTGATTTGGACAGTGTTTGGGTCTGTCCTGGGAAAAACCAAGAGCGGAGACTGTTTACCCGAGGTCACACTTCCCCACCCTCCCAATCTGCCTGCAGACCTGCTTTTTTTTTTTCTTCTTAAGAGGAAGTCACTCAGTCCCCAGACATCCCCTCTCTCTGCATACTGTATTGTTTGAATACAGTAGTAGTATCAGGAGGACTAAAATTCAAGGAAGAGTGAATGTGCTTTCCAACATCAAGCCTGCTGGAGGGAAAGTTGACTTTTCACACACTCTGAAGCCTCCCAGACAGTTTTTTTTTGTATTTTCCTGTTTGGGTCTGGAGGAACGTGCTTACAGTATGTCCCACAAGAAAGCTGTGGAAGCGAGGGCCCCTCCCTTTGTGTCTGCAATTCAGCACAGCTTTGTCAAAAAGCCACCAGTTGTGTGAGGAAACAATGTGCAGGGGAAAATTAGTAACATGCAAAAGTATTCATATTAAAATTTATGCTTTGAATTATGCAATGATAAATCTACAAATTTCAACGTGTTCTACTGGTATTTCACATGACAGGCCAATGGAAAGTGGGGCTGTAAAATTTAAGTACAACAATACAAATTTATTTATTTATTTTTTTATAAAATCCAGGCCTAAATCCAATTGAGATCTGAATAGCTAGAGCTATTTTGCAGAGAAAAAAGATGCAAGTCTGGGGATGTGCACAGCTGGTATAGACATTCTTTGAAAACTTGCCACTGCAAAGGCAGAGCAAAACAGGATTCCTTAAAGCAGTGGTCCACAACTTCTAATTGGAATCCCCTGTTCTTGCACTGAAAAAAACATTTTTGGCCACCATCATCACCAAAAAGTGCTTACATGCACACTTGTGCAGACACAAAGATGCAGAGTTGCATAGGCTTATGTCTATGTGCACTTTGTGCTTGCACACATTTGGCACCAATACCAAAAATAACATTTCACTAATTAATCATTATTTTATTCACAGTCCTGCAATTCTTTCTTTCTTTCCTCCATGCTGGATGCCTTAACTCGTTTCATGTTGTCCAGACATTAAATGCTTCTGTCTAAATGTAGGTGCCAACCCCCATACTTTATTGAATCAAGGGATTTCGCCTATTTGATTTGCATACCTAAAACTGTGATGATGAGTGATTCAGCCATTAGTGGTAGACTGTCTGTGTTCCTTAATTTGATTAATTTTAAACTGCTTCTTATGGCCGAACGCAGTGGCTAAGGGATGATTTTAGAAAAAGATTAGTGCTTAAAACTCCACATCAAAGAAACCACTAAGCTCCTTACTGTAATCAGAGGATCTGTCAACAATTGCTGCAAACTGATAGGAGTTTGACTGGAACCTCCGCCCACAAAGTCTCACTGCAGAGCGAAAATCTCTGACATGAAAGAATCCCTAATACGAAGTTAAGAGATACACTGGTATCCTGATTAGATGCAGGAAAAATAACCAAATTGTTTTCCCGTTGCAAACCTGCCATCTTCTCTGTGAGCTGTTTGCACAGGAGCAGAGGGAGGCCTAAATTAGTTAGTTCACAGACCTCTATAAATGCAACAAATCACCTGCTGCCAGGAAAGATTATTATTCCTCGCCTCGGGCCAGGTTGAAGCAAATCAGACCAGATAACGCACAAACATTTCTATCTTTCCTGTTTGAAAGGGATCACTTTAATTGCATTTGCGGAGCTCACCGAGAGATAACATTCAGCGAGAATGAAAGTCAGAAAGGTTGGATTTCTTTTTGACCAATGGGACATCTAAAATCTTAATTATTCTCTTGTTTGCTTAAACTAAATCTTGTTTGTTAAAACTAAAGTGGAAAAATACAGACCTGCTTTTATTCAACAACATTTTGCTCTTAACATTTTACCTTATACAATTTGATATATTTTCCTCTGCAGCTCTGATTGAGTGTTAGAGAATCATTTTCTAGCTGGCACCTCACCCTCTGTGTCAAGTCATTAGTTGCCTCTAAAAGGTTTTCATCCATTATTTGTTAAAGAACTGCATACCTACAGCATAATTCTACCACCACCATATTTTATAACAGGCATTGCGTCTTTAGGGTGATGCTAGTGTTAGCTTTCTACCATGTGTAATGTTTTGCATTAACTTAAATATTTCAACTTTGTTCTCATCTGGGTAGCACTTTCTTCTATGCATTTGTTGTGTCATTTATCGATTGTGACAAACTGAACTTCTTATGTCCTTTCTGTGTCCGTTCTTCCATAAAGGCCAAATATGGGAGGTTTGTGTCTAGTTCTAATAGTTTTGATTGTTCCACCTGAGATGAGGATCTCTGCAGCTTTTCCAGAGTTGCCAAATGCTTTTTGGCTTGGAATCTAAGTGAAATACTTTGAAAATGACAAAAAAATAAAACTTGACACAGTGTATGAATACTTTGTCAGCACATTTACAGTGATATCAGTTCAGATCCTTTTAATGTCCAAGTAATAAGTCGGTGTATTATACACTTTATAGCTTCTTAATTGTCTTATATCATGTTTATACTGATTACAGAAACTTGGATGCATCAACATGATTCAGTGCTTTCTATTCTCTGAGCCAATCCTGGATTGGAGTTTGCTGCAATGCAGAAACTGCAGATTGCTTTTACTGGTACTGTAACAGTTCCTATTAAATATTGAGATTTATGAATATAGAAGCAACAGTAGACCTTGTGAGGTAAATTAGCATGCAGACGGATTAAAAGATAATGTCCTGCAGGCCTGCGAGGGGTTGAAGCTGTTGGAGGTTAAGGTCGGCCTCGCCTTTCCTGGGACCTTTGCACTGTGGAATCAGAAACCTTGACCATTAATCAGGCCACTGGAGACCATCTAGTGAATCTACAACCAAGTGGGATCCTGTACATGGAGAGAAAGTACACTACGGCTAATCATGTCTCGGATGTATGCACAAAGCGTCTCTGGCTCTTATGGATCGTGTACATCCATGTGACTACGAATGTGGCTGCACAAATTAATTTATACCATCAGTCGTCTTGCAGGGTTTTTTTTTTCCTACTTTGAATTAATGAATTATGGGAGGAATAATTTTCATAAATGACTCACTGGGATTCATGTTGGATTTGTTTCATTTTTGTTCCTCATTTGATCATCAGTCCGCTCAAATGTAAGTCATGTTGGTGTGTCTGTAGGTGTCTCAGATCAGGTTCCTGAAGCAGCAGAGAAGCTCGTGTT